CAACAGTTGATAGCCATCCTAGTTGATCCGCTCCCCAGCTTATTCTAACCCATCGATAACAGCCAGAGATGCCTTCTAGTCGGCATCGGGACGTGAATTAACCTTTGACCTGATACGACGACTCTGACGTTGCGAAAGGGCTTATCGCAGAGCACAAGTCGTCGCTTAAAACGTCAGCGGTCCCCATGCATACATAAACCAACTAAAGTGTTGTCGCCCTACACAGCTAGACCCAGCCGACCACCTCGGCACAGCCGTTGGCTGCTCTTATGCTAGCACGGAACCTTTAAGAGCTAGATATAGAAGGAGCCCTTCAAAAAACACTATTTCCGGTATGTCCTTATAATAGTGGGGATCGTAAATCCGACCTAGTGGACAGGTGGTAAAGCTGTAGTAGGCGAGATAGTGACGGCACATTTTAGTCCACTCAGGCTAGATGCAAGCCTAATGAGCTCCGCCTCGTCCAGCCGCGTCGTTGACTGAACGACAAACATCATAGTTGTGATGCGATGGCCCAGGGCACTCTATCGAGTATGAGGTAAAGCTTGAAGGCAACATCGGGATGGCAGAGGTGCAGCAGAGACCGACAGCCTAAAGGAATGCTGAGTTGTCCACCGAAGAAGAGGACCTGAACCTCCGGGGGAATCCTACCGGATGCCCTCAGTAGCTAAGAGCCGCCGATTGAAATAAATCACCCTAATTGGAACGATGTAGCTAGTGGGCGAGTGACCCCCAGTGGGACAATATTTCCGATTTGGGGGAAAATTCACACGCGCTATAAACGGCGCGCCTCATAGCAGTTGTAACGCTGGGCGATATATGGACGAAACGACCGTTACCGACCCAAGCGCAGCCTTCCTCGCACTGGACATCATCACGGATGAGCAGTTGCTCAGCATAGTCCTACCTTTACTGCACTCTAGACAAGAGCTACGAGACGTAAGCCTTCACTTTGCAGTGCTCCTAGCAGCACTCTGTTGGCGCCAGTGGAGTGTTTTCGTTCAGGTCGTGATAGCTGAGCTTGGGGGCGAGGTCGAGCCGAGTAGGGTTGAGCATGCTAGCTTGGGACGAGGAGTTGGAAGTGTCTTCAGGCATCCCCTTGGTTAGTGTTGAAGCCATTGGAAGCATCCCTGAGGTCGACATGCGGCGGTGTCTATTACTAGAGTTCTCTGGGCCGGCCACATCACCGATGCCGCCTACGAGAAAGCGGCCGTCGCTAAGCCGGTCGGCGAGGGCGGCTAGGAAGGCCCGAAGGCGAGAAGGCTCCCACGACACACTGTTGAGGCTCATGAGGGGCGAGGAGGTCCTGGACTCTACCTATCCTGCTGTGTTTCAAGTCGAAGAAGGTAGGTCTGGTAGGTCCATTGTCCCCATTGGAATGTTGGGTTTAGCTTGCCCTATAGGGGAGCCTCGAACGACCATCCAGCTCACGTCGGACGCTTCCACCTCCCGTCTGGACTCCACCCCGTCTGGTAGTAAGGGGATAGTCTGAATCTGGATACACCCTGTCCAGCTCGATAGTGATGGATGACTCCTTAAACCTTGACGGGGGGACCTCTAGTCGAGACGGGTTTTGACATAAAGGGCTGTATGCTCAACCTACTTGGCATTTGTAGATCTCAAGTGTTTCGATCCATTCGAGAACCCTAGCGGGCCTGGGCTCGATGGACATAATGCCCCGTTCGACTTGTTCCCCAACGAGTTATGACGATCATCCCACGGCTGAGACACTGAGTGTAATGGTATTGTTGTTGTTTCTGGCTTGTATGTGGTTTTTGTAGGTAATATGATGGAGGCTCATAACGATGCATAATTGGTGTAAGCTTCCTGGCTGCTCGAACGTTCCCATGCGGGTGATGCACGTTGGTGAAGTTTCCATTGACACATTTGTGACTGTCCGATGCTGTAGTGTTGGGAGTGGTCGGGGAGGTCCTTTGGGGCTTTTTCGTGGATCTTGAAGTTCCTCTCTGAGAGGTATAGAGCATCCTTGAAGAAAAGGCCCATGGATGGCGTGGGGCTACATTCTCTTTGTTGTTCACCCTGGTATGGTCAGTGTTGACAGATCGGTCATGGCAGGGTGTAAATGATCGCCGGATGCAGGCCGTGACTGTAATTGTGGCACACTCTTATATGTGATAGAAAAACAACGAATGATGATCCAAGCAGAGTCGTACGAAGCGGGCGGTAGCGTGTTCGTTGATGTACGTACATGATGCGG